GAATATATAAAAATATCATTGTCGTTTAATGATTCAATATAAATCTATATATTTACATAATAGGAAGAAGTTTCTGATGCGAGAGTAGAAGCGATGCTATCACCTAGAAATTCTCTATTGGTGCCGAGGAGATTCTATTCGGAAAATGATACGCAACAAAGTGCACCAAATATTTCAGAGATAGGTCTGAAAAATTTAACGAAACATATTAATGGTTTGAAAAAAAAAATTAAAAAATATGAGGATGAATTCGAAGAGAATTTTGGTTATCGTCCAAGTCATTCGGACAAAATGAGTAACCGCGATATTAAAAGATTATGTACAGAATTAAATAAACTAAGAAAAGAACATAAAATGTTAAAAGAGGATCCAATCGGTGCGCTGATAGCTAACGCTAATAATAAATTAAATACTGTTGGCAGTCCAACCAATAATAATAACAGTCAAGAAAAATCAAGAACCACGTCGATGGAAGAAATGGTTAAAGAAGTCGAAAAGAAACTTAGCGAGAAACGATTGAAATACAATCGACCGGATAATATGGAAGAATTAACGTATGAACAATTATTTGATGAAAAAACAGCGGTACAAAAGGCATTGCTTCATATTGAAAATACTTTTGGTAGGCCAGTTTCCAAAGATGACAGATGTATCGTGAGACCATTGTATGATAGATACAGAACTTTGAAGAGATTACTTATTAGAGCAGGCGCGGTAAGCTCTAATCATTAATGTTTATATTTACGAATTAAAATTAAATAGCGATTTTATATCATTATATTTTTTCATTCGTTTTACAGAGTAAGAATAAAGATAGTATTTCGGAACTAGCTACCATATTAGAACACGAAGCAATGGATTTTACTTCATCTACTTTGCCTACCAATTCCACGGATGCAGAAAGAAGAGCCAGTGAACCAGATATGTCTCATAGAGGCATATTAGATTGTATTGATACAGTAGACCAACTTCCAACTGATAGTGATAGTCAACACAGCAGTAGCGAAGGAAGTCGTAGCGCTGGAGAAAGTCTTCATGCAATGCCACAGTAATATTTTATATCTTTATATAATAGTAATGATGGGAATGATCTACAATGTATTGAATTATTGTTTTATTTTTGAATTTTCAGAGAAGAATTATTCGTTCAACAAAGGATCACTAGAGAAGAAAAAAAACGACTTCGTAGAGCTTTAAAGGAATTAGAAGCACAATTTGAAGCTCGGGCAGGACGTCGTATGCAAAGAGAAGATCGTGGCCCACAGGTCACGACTGTTTATGAATCTTACAAACAAGCAAAGGCAAGGCTTAGACTGATCGAGGCTCTTTTGGCAAAGAATGCTTGATTCGATAATAAATTTTTAAATCAAACAGATATGGTATGTAACAATCGAAGCACGTAAAATAACAGACGAATTACTTGCTGTATTTGATAACAGAATTCAATTGATAATATCGATACCTAAGATTGAAATTGAAGGCCTGCAAAAGATTATTAGAAAAAGCATCCCATTAAACCAACAGAATAGCATGTATGTATGATCTAAATATATACAAATCAAAATGCTTTTATGAGAAAATAAAGATAAAGGAATACATCTTATAAAACTAGGGAGTCCTATTAACTTTCACAAGTCTGTGCGTTCTAATAATTATTTTTAAGTACCTCTTTGTTTTTGCTCTCTTGTAGGCTTATAATTATCAGTCAAATTTGTTAAATCATTCTTTCCTTTATAAAGTTATTCTTTATTCTGTAATATTGTAATGCAAATTACTGATTCATTTTTTGGTTAATACTTTTGTCTGAGAATCCCCAAGAACATATGTTCTGCAATAGTGTATATATATGAAATAAATATATTGTCAACAAAAAAAAAAAAAGAAAAAAAAAATAAAGAAAGAAAGTAAGAACAAAGATGGTGAACAAATTTTTTGAATATAGTGGCCTATGTAAAGTTATTATGAAATTTGTGTCTATAGTAAATATCATTTATCATTATATGAGTTTTTAAAAGAATCACCAGTGATAGTATTTTCTTTTACTTCAAATGGAAGTTAGATATTTGTACTTTTACTCTTATGATAATATTATTAATACATACATATTTTTTATCATAATCTATTTATTTGTATTTAAGCTTTAGGTACTATTTTGGGAATGCAAGAATAATATAAGGAAAAGGCAAATGCCTAAAATATTGTTATACACATGCTGATGATATGCTATAAAAAATAACCACTGTTTGACTACAGGGTTTGATGCACAAGTAATCACAAGTTAATATATATACTGACTATTAATTGATTAACCATTGAAAAGAATTATGTTTTGAGAAAAGTATGAAATATTTCATTAATTATTATTTAACATTAATATTATTTAACGTATAACAGTAGTTAAAAATATTTATGTTCATTTGTAATAAAAAGTAATCGTTTATAAATGCATTTTTTTTTAATACATAAATTTGTACAGATACGATAAAGAATAATTTTTTTCTCTCTTTCATATTTAATAAAAATGATAAATATGTATTTTAATTTAATTGATTATTGGCTATATAAAATTAAATAAAACGTGCATTTTTTGTATTTATATCTTAAAGAATAAATAATTGTCAGTTGGTTTCTACAAATGCAAAAATTTATTATTGAGAATAAAGAACGATTCTGTATGTGATTACTTGTAATATAAAAAACTTTTAAGAGATATCACGTGTTGTAATTCTAGAGTACTATAAAATGTTACAATCTTGTAATGTATTAAACATTCTCTTCACACTATGAACTCTATGATTTCTGCATTATATTTTACATTCTACAAGTATAATTTCAAGGCTGATGATTTTACATGTAAAGGCTAAAAATAAATGGTAAAGAAACGGCCTTAAAATTTTACTTGATTAAATTTTTTCAAAGACCTTTGATTAAGGGTGCTCTCATTTTAGTTTGAGTTTAAAATATGTTAAGAAAATGAAAGAAATGCTTGTAGATTTAACGCTGTCTTTAAAAAAAGAGTGAATGTGTTACAAAATACGCGTCTTTCGATAATCTCGAGTGTTTCGATAATCTCGATATTACGGTCAATAAGAACTTCAAGAAAAGAAGAATTTCATTTATAATGTAATGACAAAAATATTATATTTGTGGTTTTTATATACATACATACATCATACATACATACATACATACATACATACATACATACATACATACATACATACATACATACATACATACATACATACATACATACATACATACATACATACATACATACATACATACATACATACATACATACATACATACACACACGCGCGCGCACTCACACACACACACACACACACACATATGTCTCTTTTCTTTTTTGCTACTTTTATACGAAAGTGTGTATGCAAACTTTTTAAAGATAAATTATGTTTTTCTTTCTTTTTTTTTTAAATTCATTTCTTTAAAATTTTTTAAAGTATACCACTTTTATGATTTCTTTTTTTTTCATATAAAATGACTTTTGTGAAGCAAAAATTAAGAGCTTATTTAAAAATATATGTATATTATGATTATACTCGCGGAAAGACAAGCGGGCATCACATACGAATTATTTGTCGTAATTGCGAAAAAGCAAAAAGAAGAAAAAAAAACAATTTTTGAGACCAAAGCATTTTTGTCTGTGATATGATGAGAGATAAACTTGTGTTGAGAAGTAGGAGAGAGTGTGTGCGAAAAGGATACATTTGTTCGTAATTACTTTTTGGAAAATTATGGAAACGCGTTTTGGTAAACTCTACAGGATGTGGTTGGGATTATCAATTTGTTAAATTGATTATAATATCAAAGCCATTAATGATAGGATTGTATTTTTTTAAGAAAAAGAATTGGTATCAGATTTCAGCATGGAGATTAATTAAGAAGGACATACTTATTTATATATATATATATCATAAAAATAAAAAGAAAATATTAATTCAAAGAAATTAATATTTTTTTTAGATAATAGTATGTTTTTCATTGAATAATACTTTCCGTGCTTTTTGTAATTTTTATATATCGCTTGTATTTCCGAATGATATCTACTCTACATCCAGAAATTCATTTTGTATTTGATGCCATAAAAATATTCTGTTTCTTAAGAATGTACACGACTTGTATTCGTTATAATGTAAAAAAAAAATATATATATACATATATATATATATATATATATATATATATATATATATATATAATATTGTAGTTGTAAGACATTTTATATTACCGTTACGTAAGATATATTTTATAGCTCGTAGAAGATATATACATATATATATATATACATATATATATTTATGCATAAAAAAGAATCAAGTGATTTTGTGTAGTGACTTGAAAAAAGTACAATAGTCACTGGCATTATTGCATCTAAATTTTATGTTTATGCAAAAGAGAAGTCATTGTGAAAGGAACACAAATATGTAAACGGCTTGATTTTTCCATGAAAAAGATAAGTAATATGATATTTGACAAAGGATGCTGGTTCTTTCTAATGTAAACATGATTTGTAATTACATATCTAGCATTTAGATTTATGTGACAAAACATAGCGAACAATAGAAAATATAGAAGTACTAATATAGTACTTTTGTCACTCTACATAAAGTATATGTGCAAGTTCTTTCGCATCAAAATATAAATGCAAAACAGTTAATCTGTCTAGCAAAGGTCACCAATTATCAACATTTATACACATTGAATTATGTATATATACATATAAATTATGTACATGAAAACAGGCAGTTGTGCATGAATACAATCAATACCTGCATATAGACAGATATCACATATTACACAAGGTAGCATAAAAAAAAATGAATAAAAGAAGTATGATCTGCTATAAATATGTATTCTTTACTATCTCAGATTCCTCTGATCAGATTACTATAGCATTTCTTTGAAATGGTACAAATGGAACATCTTAGAAAAATATGGACATGCAGAATCACAAAATGTTGATTACTTACGATCCATTTATTAGGAGGTGAGCTTAAGTTGTTTTTGAAACATTTGTATTTGTCTTAAAAGACCTGCAAGTTTCATTGAAGTTGAAGCTTCTCTCTGAGTATTTATAATATTTTGGCGTTTCATACTAAATGTATGCATTGCATCTTTTGTACAGTTCTTGCTTGTTTTACTTAAATTAACTGGAGTAGAAGAGTACATTTTATTCACCGCAGGAACCTTTGTTGCAATGCATACAAAACTATTTCTTTGTTGTAACATTTTCATTTGTTGCTTTAATGCCATAACCTGTACAAATTATGTAAGAAATAATATTGAAATTCAGCCATTTATAACTATATAGTACCATGAAGTCATAAATTATAGATATATATGTTTAAAAAATAATATATTTATACAAAAAATATATTATTATTAAAAAGATAATATATTAGAACAAGACTTATATAACTGTACACAAAGTTATCTTACCTCTTTGTAAAGACTAATTAATGCATTTATTTCTTCTTCTTTGGAATTTAATTCTTTTTCCAGTGTAACAATTTCATTTATTAATGATTGATCATCAGAATTTGCTGCTTTCTTTTGCAAATTTTCATATTTCCTGTATATAAAATACATGTAAGTATTTTTGGAAAGAATACAATATTTGTACAGAAACTTACACGTTCATTGCTTCAAATTGATCATGAAGATTTATTAAAACTTCTCTTATTCCTTTTGATTCAGAAAATTGCATATTTGGCTTATCATTAAATTTAATACAGTTCACCATATTCTGCTTTTCCTACAATATTTATATAGTAGAGATATTAATTAATTTATAGATATTTGTTTATTTACTTTTGAAATAGAATCTGTTGTTTGTGGATAGTTTTTGAGATTCCATTGGGGAATAAATCCTGTCATTGTACTTTTTACAGAAGAATAGTAACTCTTGATTGATTCTTTGTCTGCTTGAATTTTCTATATAATATAAAAACATTTAATATTTTAATATAATATTTAGTAGTGGATTCAAATTCTAGAAAATATTGTATATACTTGTTTTTGTATATCATCAGGAGTAATGAAAGAATTAGTTTCACTCTGTGTAATAACTTGTGGCTTTAATACAGGATTTATTATTGGGGATTGTTTTATAAATTTTGAAGATGTTTGAGTTAAATATGAACATTTCTCCTCTAATGCACTAATAGCATGACAATTATTTTCCGTACATATATCTTCCGATTTGACAACCATTTGTTTCATAAGAGTAGATACAGGTTCTAATCCTTTACTAACTTTACGTATAAGTAATGGAGTAACACCAGTTATATTTGGTTGTTTTGTTTTCATAATACTTAATACCTATTACATTACAAAGAAAATTTAAATATAAATTTAATATTTAATAGAGCATTAAATATACTTGTTGAATATTTAATCCTAAGTTGTGACTTGGAGTTACTGAAGTTCCAACAACAAATGGTATATTTCTAAAATTAAATCTGTTAAAATATGATCGATTTGTCCTTTTTAATTTTGAAGCTAAAGTTGGCATCTCATAACTACGATTAGCCATTGGAACATAACACGTTAAATCAAATACTGTGTTCTGTTGTTGATATAATTTACATTCATGATTAGAAATTTCTATTTTATCTACATTTTGAGTTTGTTTATAAGAATATTCGTCTTTGATCCTAATTTATGAAGAGAACACTATTTTATTATCATATTTAAATTTAATTGAATTTTTCTTATGAAAACTTACACTGCGATGTCTTCAGAGATGGGCAGCTTATTATCATGATGTTGATTTGTTTGATGTTTCTCATAATTTTGACATTGATCATAAGTATGAGGTAATTTTGTATGTATATTACATTGACCATTATTAAATTGTTTTTTCAATTTTTTCATTTCAAGTTTACTAGAAACTGCAGAGATGCTACCACTTTTCATTGCAGCATTGTGATAAAGTTCTACTATTCCACTATAATTATGTTGAAGTTTTGAAGAAGGTATATGTTGTTCCAATAATTGATTTGTTTTATGATCTGTGATATTAATTATATCAACAATAAATCTATCGTAAGAACAGAAACTTCTTTAAAATAATATACAGAAAATACTTCACCTTTTTGTTTACGTTTTCTAACATCTTTCCTTGTAGTTACATTCACTTCTTTAGTAGCTACTGTACTTTTTGAATTAATATTCCGTAATTTACCTCGTCTTTTCTTAATTTTATTACTAACCGTTTGATCATTTTTATAAATAGATTTTTTGTTGTTTAAATTTATAGTATTAATTATAGGCTCCTTGTTTTCTTTTATTGAACTTCTACATTTGGATGTACGTGAACTTTTTATACTATCAGAAATATTCAAGCTTAATTCTTGTGGATTGATGTCAGGATTTGCACAAGGTGAAATTTGAGTAGTCCATTTGATTGGATTATTTACTACCAATTGTTCACACGGTTCTTTGAAACAAAAAATATTCTGCTGTGTTGTATATTCTATCTCTTGTTTTTTGTCATCACAAATCATATTTTCCAAAATATCCATTGATTGTTCTTGTTTTACTTCATGAATAGCTGGTTCCAATGTAGAGCAAATAGAAACAGAGTCTAGAGCTCTATAGAAATTTTCAGTTCCTTCTACTTTTAACATTTTATCATTACACATTTCTATTTCTACAGTATTAATATATGTTAATATTGAGTATAAAGTATAAAGATTAATAAAAATATATACTTGACTTATATCCTTATCACCTTGAATTCTTCCTTCAGGACTTTGGTTTTCTTGCATAAAATTACCATAGTTCTGATTTGTTAAAACACTGACGTTTGAATCACAAAGACCGATGTTACAATCTATTTTAGAATGTTCAGGTACTAAATCATGTTCTTGCGAATTATTAATTAATGTTTGGAAACTATCTGATTGTTCTTTTGTTGTGTCTGTTTTAATTTGACAAAACATTTTCATATAATTTATTCTAGACTTCAATGATCCACATTTTGTTTCCGCTACTTTTAATTTTCGACAACACTGTTCCAACTCTAATTTAATAAATAAATAAATAAATAAACACGCATACACACACCTACACATATATATATACATATATATATATATGTATTATAAAATAACTAAACATATATGTATAAAACAAAATATATTTAAATACATAAGAGAAAAGAAATAAAACCTGTTCGTCTCATATCGGCTCCACTCTTTATAGTTGTCATTGTATTTGATAATTTTGTACATATAATTTAAAAATTCATCTGCAAATATCTAATTATTACAATATGAAAAAAATTGGATAAGCATTAAATTGATATTATGAGATTTACTATTTGAATACATATATAAGATAATAAATAAAAAATATCTAACAGAATAAATACTTTTATAAAATGTTTTAAAATCAGAAAGAGATATAAAGGTTACATACGTTTATAACTATGAATAGAAAAATATTTGTCTCTGAAAATCATTTTCTTTTGTTTAAGAATGAATAATTTATAAAAAATTACGTACCTGAAATTTATGCGAAGAGTATATTAATAAAAAAAAAAAAGAAAGAAGTTATCTTAAAATACTGCAAAAAATTAAAAGCGCATTTATATCAATATAAACGAAACATATGAACAGAGAAACATCGTTAAAAGATTTCTCAGAAGTTAACTGTTTTATGTGTAATATATTATTATTATACTATAGATTTTATATAAATTAATAATAATATAAATAATTAGAATAAATAATAAAATTATAATGATAAAATTAAAATATTAATAACAAAAGATTTAAATGAAGATAAAATAAAAAATAAGTTACCGTTATTGCATTATTTGAAGCATAGAAAAAAGAAAGGCGCGAAATTCATAAAATTTCAAATCAAATTATCGTTTCATCCTGATACGATTTTAGACCGTTAGGTGCGCTAAAATCAACTTCTTTAATGTATTTTAAAGAAGGCATAGATCAGCGTACCTGTGAGTTGCAAATGGTGGACGGTCTGTCATCGTTGTGCTGTAACATCAGGTAAACATTTTTTTCTGATTATTTCATCGTTATTATGATTATAAATTTGAATAGCCATTACTTAAAACATATACAAAAGGTTTGTTAAAAAAGCGGCACTTGCCGTTATGAATTTCCTATAATATTTATAAAATTTCATACGATTACGTAAAATTGTTACACCAGACGAAAATAGTCACCTGATTCTTAATAAACCAGATATTTTCTGAATTATTAAGGAAATTTATTTTTCCTTGTAACTCATATATATTTGATTTTGCTATAACAAGAAGATAATTAACCGGGAAGTACGTAATTTTTTGTAAAAATATGATAGAGGTAAAGAACAGTAGGTTTCATATATTTAAAGAGACGTATAAATACACTTAGTGCAATCTGTATAATATTAGTATTAGATATAGATAATGAGTAGGTGTAATATCTATAACTATTCTGTGATAAATAAACTAATATATCAATGTTCGTATACACGGATTGTGAAATAGATATTTAACCTGTAGTCGGAATTAGTGTCACATGATTTTGACATGTACTCTACGCTATTTACTATGTATTGTTATATGCGAACGTCGATGGAATAAATTTGTTTCAGGATTACATATATCGATTTGTAGCGTATCTTTAAGTTCTAGAACATTTAAAAATGGTTTGAATTATTTTAATCGAAGTTTTTTTCACGTATATCTAGATGTTAGTAATAATTAGGTCACTATGACGCTAGCAATGGATTCATATTGTGTAATATCTTGCGGCAAACTACACATGTGTATCGAAGCGTAACCTCTATATGGTATAACTTTAGATAAATTTGTTTTCTTTTAAATTTAAGACGTTACTTGCTTGGGAGTGTGTGTGCGAGCGCGCGCGTACTCGTATACATCGTACATGCGTATATGCTCATATATTTATGTAGAGAGTTGTTGAAAATTACTTATCAATAACCGATGACCTCTAAAATATAATGTTTATTGATTTATGATATTTATATTTGTCATTGTTTACGTTAATGGTTATATTTTCCCAGACATCTGCTATTTGATGTTTTCTGTTCAAATATCAAGGTCTTAATGCGTAGCATTAATATTAATATTCTATTAATAACATTTTTAGAGATTGTAAGGATTCTAAATCTTATGTATTTATAAAATATTTTACACTTCTTTTTCTATATTACAGAATATATCTTGGATTGTTGCCAATTTTTTAAATAAAATCAATTCATTAATTGTTATTATTATCATCTGGAAATTACTCCATAATATATATATATATATATTATTTATTCTATAATCATATTTAAATTTTAGGTAAAATGTATAAAGCCAGGACGGTGTTTAACACCTTGGTGCCTCTGGCACCACGCGTGTGTGGACCAGAAAGGTTTGCTTCATGGTTAGTACGCAGTCATAATTTTACCAGAACGACTCAAGCAATAGTCATAGCACCAACTCGGAAATACAATAGTCGTGTTGCTACTGAACCTTTCTTAAATGGCAGTACCAGCTCATATGTAGAAGAAATGTACAATGCCTGGTTGCAAGATCCTCACAGTGTACATGTGGTCAGTATTTTTTAATTGTATAAAACATAAAAGCAGAATATGTAAATTTTTGTAAAATATTATATTTAACATTATTTATTTATTTATGTTTTTGCAGTCATGGGATTCCTTTTTCCGTAGTAGCACTGCGGGAGCTGGTCCAGGTCTAGCGTATCAAGCTCCACCATCTCTTGCTCCAAGTCATAATCAGGTACCACTTGGAGCATTATTGCCTCTTGGTGGTGGATCTCAAATTAGTCAGATGCCCATTAATGAAAAAATTATAGATGACCATTTAGCTGTCCAAGCCATTATTCGTTCATACCAGGTATGATATCTTGTTTATTATTTTGATTATATCTTATTCAGGTTAGTTTTTTTTACTATATTTATTATTCGATATTATATCAACTAAGAAGAATAATTAAGTGATATTTAGAATCTTTTATTAGAATATTTAATTATATATTTAACTCTTCAATGGATTTTATTTTCTCTTATTAAATTTATTGAAGAGATTAAAAAATATCTAGAATTATGAAAAATTATAAATCCGTAATAATATTATATTGAAAATATGTATCGTATAGAAAGTTATGTCAATTTTTATTAATTTCATATAAGTGATTTCATAAAAAATATTTTTTTACTGCACCAAATTTAAATATAAAGTAATTTACTTATATATGAGAATCATATATAACGTACCATTGGTAATAGTACAACTTATTCAGTTTATTGTCTGCATCTTTAATTTTTATTAGCGTTTTTATTATGTCATAGCATGTATTATCTATATATGTCACATACATGTTTGTTACATGTTTAGGGGAAATCGTGTATATCTAAATGCATGCAGAATTATATTAAAGATTATGCTTAACCATCTACTACAATACCTTACTAAAAAATATTCTTGTATATGTGTATATATAAAAGTCGTTAAAAATTAAAATTTCTTTTTAAATTTAGAATAAATTTATCAAAATAGAATGTAGTATTCAAAGTTTAGATGGTTCTGCATCAGTTTCTATCATTATTGTTCAGGTCTATCATAAGTGTTTTTAAAAACACGAAGTATCTTATGGTTCAGTAGCCTCATATTACACTGGCTGCTCACTGCATCTTCTACCTCAAGCATGTCATGCAGTTTGATATCTTATTTAGTCCAAATAGTATATTTTTTCATAATTTAATATCAATAATTTTCTTGCACAATAATTGCTTGCTATAATTATAAAACGTCTTGTATATCTTTTTGACAACGAGGAAGAAGCAGCAGCATTTTATAAATAGTTAATATTTTTCAAATTATTTTTTTAATTAATCAAACATTTTTTTTTTACACAGTATTTCTGATTCTTTAATTATATTTGGTTACGTATAGAGAATTGATATGATTATTAGTACATTTTATATAATTTGCAAATTAAAAGTAAACGATGAAGAAATTGTACATATCACTGATGTAATAGTGTAACACTATACATTTATCATACTTATGGTGATTATATCATGTATAAAAAGAATTGATAAGTAGTTAAACAAATATATATGTGAGGTCTTGTTGGGATTATTCATTGGCATATAGGCTCGAGGTCACTTAGTTGCTGATCTGGACCCACTGGGTATCATGCAAACAGACCTGATACACACACATTATGCAGCCCGCAAGGGATCTCCAGAACAAGTTCTGCGACAATATATGCTTGGTAAGGCTTTGTCCTAAGCCATTTCTTTGAGCTATCATATCAATTGCTAATCTACCTGTGTGTCATTAGGTAAAGGTGGACTAAATACATTTTACTATTGTTGAATCTTTGATTATATGTTATCATTAAGAACATTTTTCATCATATATTGTGAAATCACCTTATGCCAATATGCACACAGTATATGTTATATCACATACATGTGTGATGTTACTTATTCACATTAACTCCTTCTCCAATCATATTATTAGGTATATATTTTCTTTTTATATATTTATTTGATCTTTTTTAAATTATGTTTCAAAAAAAATATTATTTCTTATTTCAATAATTAATGTGATTTTTTGACATTATACATTTGGTATATTCAGGATCTTATATCATATTTATAGATTGTTGATTGGTATTTATGTAAATAGTATAGGAGTTTTTAATTTTGTTTGTGTGTATGCATATATATATATATATATACACATAAATGTGTGTGTGTGTGTGTGTGTGTGTGTGTGTGTGTGTGTGTGTGTGTGTGTGTGTGTAAGATATATTGTTTAAATTACAAAATTTAATTTTTGTCATGATTGTGCTCCTATATCTATATCTTTTGGGTTTCATAAAGAAGGAGAAAATGTGAAAATGTCATAGTTTTATGCTGGTACTGAAAATGTATTGCTTATGTATAACAATGTATTTATGAAACAAAGGTACATGTCAGGAACAAGTCTATAGTATGATATCAATATTTATTTGGTCTTCTTTTTCTTGTTAGTATATTTGTCTAGTGAATATCTAGATATACTTATAATATATTTGTAAATATGCAAG